GCCCACGGCGCACAAGCCGATATATCAGTCAAAACCCGTCAGTCAGCCACGAAGAGGCGACACACTTTTTTTTTTTACGTGAATGTGTACTGTACTACAGTTGAACCTCGCTAATTTGATTTTTTTTTGTCCCCGTCTGAATTTCCATAGAAATAATGCGTTAAAAACCTCCCTAACTTGAAGGTTTTTCCTCTAAAACCTTCACAACTCGAGTTTTTGAGGCCTTCAGGTTAATATTTTGTTGGAACAGGAAGGAAAAAAAAGCAATAAAAAATTGTAATTTAATGTGCTTTGGCAGAATGTGACAGACTAAATTGTGCAAATGAACCCCTGTCTCCCAAGTTCAGCACCCTGTCAACTCATTGTAGAAGCAACTTGAGGCCCAGAATATCACAATGTACAATTTAATGCAATTCTTCAATGTTTCCCACAATAAAAATGCTTGATTCTGTAAGTGAAACATCTATAATTCTGAACAACTCAAAGCCTTTCTTAGTAACATTTTTATGCTGATCCCTTGAAATTCAACTTAACAAGGTTCAACTGTATACTGTACTATAAAGTATTGTACTGTACTGCTAAATCCCGCAGCAGCATTAAACTGGTACAGTATTTTCCTAAAGCACCTTCTCAAGTCAAACTGCAAAGGACTCAAAATGAAATTTGAGTTTGGAAAACGACCATTTTTGTTGATGGAAAGAATTACAAGATATTGTATATCAATAATAATGTATGATGGGCTTTAGATTGTTTATTGGAAGAGTTGGCAGGATGCCAAACCTGAAGACAGGGGTTCATTTGCCCAATTTAGTCATTCACTTCAGTGTGAAACTCACTGAAGGTAAAATTTTCATTGCTTTTCTCTTCCCTGTGTCTATGAAATAATAGCCAAAAGGGCTCCAGAAAATTTGAGTTATGGAGGTTTGAAGGGGAAAACTTTTGAGTTGGCAAGATTTTTAATGCATTGTTCCTAAGCAAATATAGATGGAAAAGTTTGACATATGGAGGTACAGGTCCACTGTACAAGGGTTAGTTCATTAGTTCTGATGCTTTTTTAAATAATTCCAAAACAGTTTCAACAATAAAAAAAAATTGTTTTTTTACTCAAATAGCTCAGTCATTTGGCAACACTTCAAGTGTTATTCAACACACTCTCCTCCAATTTCAATGCATTTTTTCATGCAATAAATCCAATTATAAAAACTGCCAAAAATCGAGAAATGTTATTTGATTAGGCAACCTGTAACTTATTCTGGCTGTTCCCAACAGTAAATAATGACCTGAAAAGGATTGATTTTGAGGACAGCCTCATTTCCACCATTGTCAAACAGCTTAATCAACTAATATTGTAACATGATTTTCAGCACTGTTTGATCATATGATTTATTGCATGAAAAAAAACATTGGAATCAGCGGAGAGTATGTTGAGCAGCACTCTGAAGTGTTGCCAAATTATGGTGCTATGTGATTAAATTTTTTCTTTTCTTTTTTAATTGTTGTAACTTTGTTGGATCTATTTCAAGAAGTCTCAAAACTTAAGAAGCAACCCTTGTATTTGCCTTCAAGGGGATCAAGCTATCAAGGTTCAACTGAATTAACAATATGCAAAGTTGCTATGGCATTGTGCAGGTTGGGTATTCATGGAACCCAAGAAAAGAACAACTGCTCAAGGCAAAGTGGCAAACATTTAAAAAGTTGCTATCAGCAGGTTCATTGCTGAGAACATATTTTCAAAGGGAGAACCTTGATTGCATATGCATTCCTAGTTCATTTTTCCAGAACAATTTACTGTATTGTGTAATTTGATGGCAAAGAAATGACACGATTCACAAGGATGTGAACGCAGATATAAAATATGTAAATATTAAAAAAAAAAAAACCAAGGGAGAGCAGTGGTCTTCTCACAATGGCAAATGTGTGGAGTCTGCTTTTTAGTGAAAACAAGTCAGTGACTCAGGACCAGGGCCAGTGCCAGCAAAAATTTAAATACAGTACAGTACTGTAAAAAGAAGGAAAATTTGCAGAAAATATCTCATGAGTGATAAAAAAAATATATTGTGTGCAAAAATACACACGCACGTTATTCCCAAGGTCCAACGTGTGTGCACAGAAAAGTTGTTGCTATGAAGATTCATATCTGTACAGCTTGTGTGTGCCTGCCTCAAAACTTGACCCCAAAATTATAACAGTGTTTGTCTTTCCGCACTATGGAAAGAATGTGTTCTGTGAAATATACAGTACAGCAGAATCTATAGTTATGACGAATAATGGATTAAAACGCAGTCGTTCATGGATTCCTGTCCAATAGCCACAATGTCATAATGTGTGTAACTTTATGAAGGTTTCACTTTGGTCTTTATTCATGACAACTTTTAGGTCAATGAAGATTCAGTATTTCACTGGTCCCAATGACTTCGGTGTGAAGAGATTTTACTGTACTGTACATTAAACTGCAGAATTGTTCCCCCCAACCTTTTTGGACTGGTGAACCAGGAATTTCTCCATACTTTATTTATGGACCATGAAACATAATTTTTGAGCATCCACACTCATAATTTTTTGAATGAATTTTTTTTTCAGAAGAATTACGAAAATATTAGTCACACGAGGGTCCTTGAAGCTTGAGAATCATTTTCAAATTTTTCTTTCGCTCCCAGTTCAATGAAAATAGAAAATGAATCTCTTCAATCATTTGGCATCGGGACAAGGTCCAAGCATCAATTGCGTCCGCATGTCGGGGCCCCTCTGTAATCAATGTGATTTAATTGCATGAATAAATGACCGGTGTTTTGCCTACCGCTCGTCGAATGCGATTAAATCTATGCTTGCCGCCTGCTTTCTGTTTTGTGACCACGCAATTAACGCGTGTGTCGGTTCGTTTCCCCAATACTGTACAATACAATACGGTACAGTACTGTACTGTGCTGCATATATAAAGGCGTAACTAAGGTCACGGGTTAAGGAAACAGAACGGGGTTTATTGGGGGTCATGTACGCTGGATACAGAGTGCACAGTAATTGGGGGAGAGACAACTGTAAAGGTGTGCTTTTATACTGCAGTACAGTGTTCGGTGAAATCTCGTTACAACGAACTCTTAGGAACCTTGAATAAAAAAAAGTTTGTTGGAACTGTGTTCCCCAACCCGCGGTCCGTAGAAGTTTTTCGCCGGACCGCGGGAAATTTCTCCAGGCGAATCAAATTTTCACGAGTAGCTATGAAGGACGTTACAGTATGTATTTATATTTATTTTTATTTTGGCAAGACAGTGGCGGTTGAGATTATCTCTTGAAAAAATTTCTTGGTTTTTCTCCTGGTAATACTTCCGACAAATTCTTACCTGATTTAATAAATTATTTTGATTTTTGAGTTTGAAAAATTATTTCTTCAAGCCCACCTTTCCATTTAAAAAAAAGACATTCCACTGTATCTGCTTCATTGGTTCCTGAAATAATTTTGCAAAAAAAAGCAGAAGCTTTTCAAATACCTGTCGTTCAAGTTGTCTTTCAAGCGACACTTTTTTGAGCATGCAAAATTTGCTGGTCCTCAGACAATTTAATGAAACTTTGCCGGTCTGTAGAATATTTTTTTTTGTGAAATTTCCTGGTCCTTGGGACCAAAAAGGTTGGGGAAGCCTGTTTAAACGATATTAATGGTTCCTTGAGCATCAAGGCCGAAAATTATATGGAAAACGGGTAATAATTGGTTTAAAGTACTTTTCACGACAGATTTGTGAAGAATTTTCTGTATTCTCACTTATTTTGATGAAACACTCCAGGAATTTAAAATTCGAAATACTGTACAATCCTCTTCCCTTTCTTGAATTTTTTAATTTACTGATCTTATCGAAGTACAATATATGTTGGAACAAGCGTAAAATAAAGTTTAAGAAGAGTTTGTACTGTACACTGGTAACTGGATGTTCCCGGTATCCATGAAAACATACTTTTCTTTAAAAAAAAAAGAAAACTTTCCATTTCTAAGTTATGAAATGAAGCTAAATGCATCATGATTCGAGCTTCATACTTCCTGCGTTGTTAAATTTTCTGCGCAAAAATATTATCAATTACATATTTTTGGAGGTTTTTCAATTATGCACAAATTGGGTCTTCCCATATGGTTCCAATTAGTAAACATTTTTATGGCTCATGCACGCAATGAAACTTCGTTTAACTGAGATTATGCAGGAATTTTAGTTAATAAAAACGACATTTTAAAAACACTATCTCTATGAATCAACTGCCCGGACCAAGAAAACGTTCACAGTAACGAACAAATTCGTTTATAATTTATCTAAATCAACGAGATTCGTTGTAACGGAATTTCACTGTACAGTATACCTTTCTGTCATAAAACCTTCTTTCCTTCCTATGCTTATTTAATCAATTTAAAATTCGAGTTTGTTGAAAGAGTCCACTTGAAAAGGGGGGAAGGAGTAATTTTCCTCGCTCATTAACGTACAGTACTGTACAACTACATCGTATTGGCATTTGCATGCAGCAATTCAAGTCTAAATTCGGCGGAAATTGCTTTCGTGCTTCTCTTTCTTTATCTCTCGTGGCGAAGAAGGAAGCCATCTTCCTGTGGAAATGAAATTGCCGGGGCGGGAATAAAAATGGCAGACACCACCTTCAACACGTTTAAATCCTCTCAAATTGCCCCATGCGTGTACTGAACTGTGCTCTAAATCCTCGTTTTCAGTTCATCGTCATCTTCATCCGCAGGTTGAAGTGCGTGAGAAAAAGGCCGAGGAGGACAATAAGAATAAGACTATTGAATCATGCGAGGAATGAAGGAAGGAAATCATCAATAATCCGGTGTATGTGTGTGTTTGTGCAATGTGATTCACTCGCGATCATGACTCCGGGACAAGCAGGAGGAGGAGTGAGTGAGTGATGTCCTGCTGTTCTTGCTGAAATAACGCCGAAAAAAAAAAACCGAGGAGGAAAAGCGACAAGAAGAAGCCTCAGAGCCCTGTGGAAAAAATCAACCTCGAAACACGATGAAAACCTCGTCGTCGTCGTCGTCGTCGTCGTGGCTGCACACGAGGACGACTTCGCTGAGCAGACGCCGGCACCGCAAGTGGCGCCAGGGATGGTACCTCGTCCTCAGCGGCGTCTTCATGCTGGCGTACCTCGAGGTGATGCGATCCTACGCGCCATCTGCCGCCCCTTTCCCGCAACACGAAACCGATCCAGGACCATCACGCAACCACCAACACCATGCTGTCGTCTCCTCGTCGGGGACCACGAATAATAATAATAATGGTCGGCATCTGCTCCAGCAACAGGCCGCAGAAGGCGAAATCAAGAAGGATCCCCTGTTCCCCAAAGACATCTTCACGGCAGCCCAACTCAAAAAAGGTATCGTATCGTGAATTCGTGAAAAATCGTGACACCATCTTTTCACCACAATTCCATTGCTGTAATGTACTTTAGTACCTTTCCTGAATTAACAACAAAAAAATTAACTGATCTTACTGAAGTACAGTAGAAGCTAGAACAAGCAGAAAATAAAGTTTAAGAAGAGTCTGTACTTTGAGAACTGGATGTTCCCAGTATCCGTCCAAACATATTGTACTTTTCTTGAATGAATGAATGACTGAACAGAACACTTTGTTCGCCGCTTTTCAGCGTTCACGAGGTTCAATCAAGATTTCCACAACCACACCCTCTTCCCACCCAACCCAAATCCACTCAATGACATTTAATCACTTCAGAGCAGGAAAGCACAAATTTATAACAAAAATATAAGAAAACACAGTCCATGAAATACATATCAAGATTTCCACAACCACACCCTCTTCCCACCCAACCCAAATCCACTCAATGACATTTAATCACTTCAGAGCAGGAAAGCACAAATTTATAACAAAAATAAAAGAAAATACAGTCCATGAAATACAACTGGACAGCTGGCATGTATGCATACACCCATTCATTCCCTTGTACTTTTCTTTAATAAAAAAAAACTATCCATTTTCTATGAGTGTTCAACAAAATTTTGGACTCGAGTCATTTCGGGAAGAGCCTGTCTGAAATTTTTTCCTGACGCACAATTTTTTCCTGAAAAATGTGGAATTGTCACTTTAAAAAAATTTGATGTACCTGGTTTCAGCTAATAAATTAATGAACCTCCTTAGAGAATTATCTTGTGTTCAGAGTCTTCTGACTCACAACTGGTTCCTGGAGAAGCTCAATAATTGAATAAAAATTTTATCACGCGTATGGGTTCAACAAAGAAAAACGAATGAACCTCCGGTGATTTCTCTGCCTGAGAACGAAAAGATAAAATCTTATTCTCCCAACTGCAAAAAATGTTTTGAAAAATATTGATTTTAAAATATTTTTCACCAAGATCAGGAATACAGTACCTTTTGAAGGAAAGGGCATTTTCTGAACATTTTTTAAGCCTTTCCAAGTGATGTCACGCTCGTCACAGAATAAATTCGAAAAAAGGTTTTCAGAGGTAGACAAAGTTAAATTTTACACCTTTAATTATGAGACCTGGAAAAATCTTGGAAAGGCAACTATTGTGAATATACACGTAACGGAAAGTTTCTTTAATTGAATTTGAAATAAAAGTGTGCTCCCTAGAAAGACACGCGTTTCAGACAGTAAATTAGATCTAAAGCAGCCGTTATTGAGGAAATACTCGGAAATATGTCCTGTCCAAATGATAAGATCTTCAACAACAAACTACAGGTGGACTTTCTGTGCAACGAAATTTCCAAAAAAAAACCAAAAGAAAATTCGTTGTAGAGAGAACTTCGCCATAAAGAACCCCCAGATTGTGGGGAGAAGACCTTTTGGGGCCACAAAAAGAGAAGAGAAAAAACGCTGTGTAGAGTAAATCGTTGTTGACAAGATCATTGTACTGTATAGAGTCCACGGGTATATAATTTATACATTTTCAATTTATTCCCAGTGATTTGTATGAGGATGAATTCCTGACTCCCATTCAATTCAGAATTAAACCAAGCTCGACTTCTTTCATTTCAGGCTTTTTGAAATTTTTTTTATGAGTAGCAGACATAAATGTACCTTGAAGGCATGTTGAATGGTTATGGTTAATGGAACTGTGACGTAAAAAAAAGTCAAGAAGGAACATGAACATTCTAAATTACAGTACAGTACTGTAATGTGTGCGATAAAACCAGAAGACCTGTTCCGACCATTCCCGCATTTGTCTAATTAATATTTCCTGTAATATGATATACAGTATTTAATATAATATATGTAATGTAATATAATATATGTAATGTAATATAATATATGTAATATAATATAATATATGTAATATAATATAATATATGTAATATAATATAATATATGTAATGTAATATCTGTAATATAATATATGTAATATAATACGTATATTGTAATATGCTTCCTTCAAGAGTACATGTAATAAAGAATAACCTCAGCACTAACTTGCTCATAATTTAGGCGGTCTTCTCTTTCGCTCAGTGTCCGCCTCTCTGATCGTCAACCCGGAATTGAGAGAATTGATCAATCATTGCGCTAATTAATTTTTTCTTTTGTTGGTCCAAATCAGGAGCTGTCGTCCTGCACGTGTTTGGCGTGCTGTACATGTTCGTGGCCCTGGCCATCGTGTGCGACGAGTTCTTCGTGCCGTCGCTGGACGTCATCATCGAGAAGCTGGACATTGCGGAGGACGTGGCCGGCGCCACTTTCATGGCCGCCGGCGGCTCAGCACCCGAGCTCTTCACGTCGGCCATCGGGGTGTTCATCGCCTTCAGCGACGTCGGCAAGTGCAAAAAAATAATCCAGGACCAGCTCCCGATTATTATTTTTTTTTCGTTGATCGTGGTTAAACGAGGGGGGGTCTATCGAAAATCTCGGGTTGAAAATTTGAGATAACGTATGTTTTTAGATGAAGAAATAATTATTTTTCAGAAAGAAAAAACATTCTTTGGCACAGCAACAACAAAAAAATACGCCTTGTTCCACATATTTTTTTTTTAATTTTTCTGCAAAAGTCTTGCTGGCAGCTTTCTGCTCTTAACTTGAAAGAAGAGGCGACCGTCTCGCAGATTTTTTATTTATTTTTTGTGTAGCCCAGATCCTCCTTCAGAGTCCTTGAAATCCACATGGCGTCAATTCCAAGGGTTGCCTCCTTCGAAGGTAGTTCATCTATTTTCCTCATCAGCCGCCACATTCTCATTCAAAGTGGCGGTTGTTGATGAAAATGGCGGAAGTAATAATCAATCAATGGCGGGAACCCTTGGAATCCATGCCATGTCAATTTTAGGAATTCTGAAGGAAAAGCTGGACTACAAGCAGATGGGCACCTCATGGTTTGAGCGAAGAGCAAAATGCTACAAGGGTGATTTTTGCAGAAAAATTATTAAATATGAATTGAACTGGGCCGGAATTTTTTTGTTTTTTTTAAAGAATATTTTTTTTAACAATACATGCAATGTTTTTCTGATGAATTTTAAAATATTTTGTGGCAGAACATTTTTATTTAAACGTACTGTGTTTTGTCTACTGTAAAAGAGCAGAGTTGTTTCTAACGATTTTATATGCCATTTATATATACAGTATAATATATATATATGCCATTTATATGAATTTAATATGAAGTACCATGGCTGAGGAATCACCAAACTTTTGATGAAGGCGTCCTCGCTTATTTAATTTTCAATGAAGGAAGATGTCATGAAACAACAAAATTATTTTTCAACGGAGTAAATTCAAAAAAATAGTGTGTTCGGAAGTATCCTCAGTTTTTGTGTGAGCATGGGGATGTACAGTAATTCTCAGTTGTAATCCAATGCTATTCTCAGAATAATGCCAAATTTTTTTACGATTTTAGCCCATTTTTGAGTATGGCAAAGATGGTGTGTAATCAATTTGTCACTCAATTGTGGCTTCTCTGGCATAATTTCGAGAGATTTTTAATTTTGTACTGTACCAGAGAAATTCGTTGCACTACATCGGGTTGACAGTACAGTAATTTTCTTGTTTTTCAGGTCAATCGTGTGCCTTTTCAATTTCGATCCCAAGAACATTTGTTAGACCCCCTCTTTTACGTGTAACGTGTTGTCACCATTATTCATCCAATGAAATGGAATTTTTGTAAATGATTTTCAATTTTGCATGATTCTGTCTCTCTCTCTCTCATTTGCCCTTATTGTCCATCGCACCCGCAGGCATTAGCACCATCGTCGGGTCGGCAGTCTTCAACATCCTCTTCGTCATCGGCATGTGCGCCATGTTCTCGCGCACCGTCCTCAACCTGACCTGGTGGCCCTTCTTCCGCGACTGCTGGTTCTACTCGGTTGCTCTCATCCTGCTCATCATCTTCTTCAAGGACAACCGGATCCAGTGGTGGGAGTCGCTGGTCCTGCTCATCATCTACGCCGCCTACGTCACCTTCATGAAGTTCAACCCGCAGGCCGAGCAGGTCATCAAGGGCTTCTTCAACAAGAACATCGTGACGCGTGTGAGGAGCACGGACGAGCTGGTAAAGGACATGCGGGAAACCTCAGCACTCCCTTCTTTTCTTTTTTTGTTTTCTTGAAATAATAATAATGATGATGATTATTATTGTTTTTTTCTTGAATCGAAGCAGAAGAGCAACAGCGTCGACTCGCGAGGCGGGTTGCCCGAAGCCGTCAAACGGGTCCCAACAGCCATGATGCACTCGGGTTCCAAGTTCCGACAGGGGCTCTTGCAACTCATGATTCACTCCATCGATCCGTTGCATCAAGGTACAGTATGAGAGAGAGAGAGAAGAAAAAAGAATACCGGTAATAATGATGGGAAAATTGAGTTACAGTGAACCCCGTTATAAAGAATTGCTTCTCGGTCCAGGCAGTTTATTCGTGAGAGCAATGGTGTAAAAATGTCATGACTGTATAATACACTAACAAATTTATTTTCCTTTATGATACCGGTAAAACGAATTTTCGCCTTGCTAAAAGTGTACTTGGATCATAGAAATTTCTATCACCCATATATACTTGAGTACCACGTGCACCTTTTTTCTCAAATTTCAGAAGGGGTGCGTGTCATAAGCAGGTACAAATTTTCCGGGAAGTTTTAGGAAGTTATGTTTGCATTATAATTAATTATAACGGAGATATTTGGGTACTTTCCTGTTATCTCTTTCTGTGCACCTACAAGAAACTGAATTTCATTTTTCTGCATTCTGCTGAAACTGTTTTTTGGAGGCGGTTAGGTCAGGTTATGTTAGTTACAAATATCTTTCAATTAACATAACCTAACCTAACAAATACTGAATTCACGAGACAAAGAAAAATGGGTACTGAGATAACTGGAAAGTACCAAAATTTGGAACAAATGTAACAAGAAAACTTTTTTGTACTGTGAAAATTGATCAGATTTTTGTTCAATTCATGGTCTAAAGTCATTTTGTTTTGTTTTTATTTTCTAAATTTTGTAGTTTTAGAAGTCACTAAAAATTGGGGTGCGTGTCTTACTTGGGGATAAGATTTTAGCAAAATTTCCAATTGAAAAACCCCTGCGTGCGCTTTACTCAAGGGCGCGTGGTACTCAAGTAAATACAGTAATTGGCACAAAACAGGGAAACCCCAACTTGTGCATGATTGAAAGACTCTAAAATAATATGCAAGTGCTTATTTTTGTGCAGAGAATTCAGCATTGCAGCCTCACAGGAAGCATGAAGCTCTAATCACAATGTAATTTAGCTTCATTTTAAAATTTATAAATGGCTAATTATAAACAAACAAAAATATTTTTGGATGCTTTGGAAGGGTATTGCCCTATTATTTCCAGGAAAATCCAGTTCTTAATTAATAAATGCCCTTCTTGAGCATTTTGCTTATTGTTTCACCTGATACTGCGGTAAGATTGGTATTTTTCTAGAACATGTATGAAAGGGAAGGTATGAAGTGAGGAAATCGCATTTAACATTTTGAATTTTTTCCATTGATTATTTCATCAGTAGAAGTTGAAAATGCGGGATATTCTCCACAAATCTGTTGTGGAAGTATAGTACTGTATTTTAGACGTCTTAGAGCATCTATATTGCTTGTCTCACAAAATTGAAGTCCTACATGCTCATAAAAACCCATGAATCTCGTCAGAATAATTTTGTGAATTTTTTCCTTGGTCCCTGCTGTGACTTGGTTGTAACGAGATTTCTCTTCACATTATCTTCCCGATGCACTGTGCATGAAAATCAGGCAAGATTGATGAAAAGGCCACACAGCTGGCCCGGCTGAAGCCCGTGGCGCTGGCAGATGGCAAGCATGGCATCTCGAATCCCGCCCTCGTCGCAGACGGAGCCTGCTGCTGCTCGTCGTCGTCGTCGTCACTCAACAACCACCACCACCAGCACCACCAAAACGGATGCCGGGCCACGGACTCGACCGTCTCCTTCTGCTCCGCCACTTCGTCCACCGCCCTGTCGGACGTGCAACACTTGTCCGTCCTGGCCGCCGCCACGTCCTCCTCGTCCTCGTCCATGATGCCGAACCAGCCGCCTTCTTCTCTCAACAACAAGGTAGAGTGTGCATGTATGTCCAGTTGGGCGCCCCGAGATGCGGACGGTTCATGGGCCTTGTGTCCCTGTGTCAGAGCATCCGCATGTCTCATAGACTTCCATGGCTACATATTTCGTATGGGTTCTCCTGTTTGGCTCAAATTTGTTGGCGAAGGTTCCGCAAACAATTGAGTATAATTTAGTTTTTAACTTCAAGATACAGAAAATAACAGTAATGAATGAAGAAAGACTCAAAATATGGCCTCCTTTGGAATGAAAATGCGTCCAAAAATCTAAAGACAAGGGCAAATATTTCTCTGCTGTACACAGTTTGTGAAAAACCCCCGAAAAATAAACCCAAAATCAATCTGTCTTGGATTCTGAATTAAAATGTTTTTAAGACGAGATTTGCGGGTAGACTCTCTCTACAACGATTTCCTCGGTATAAAATTTTTTGCTGTTGCTTTCATAAGGTCCTCTCGTCATGTTACAGGGATTGTTCTTTACTACGGATTTGTTTCTGGTCCCTTGAAGCTTGAAATTCGTGGCAGAGAGAGTCCACCTGTATTTCGGATTATTTTCTTCGGAAAGAACCTGACGTGTTCAAAAAATTTTGAACTTTTGACAATTTAAATTTGGTCTGAATAATTGTGGTGTCCGCATCTTGGAACACTGTCCAGATTTCAGCCAATTTTTTTTTTTTTTAAGTGCCGATAATTCTAATCGTCCGCATGTCGGGGCTCCACTGTAAAATGTATTCCAGAGAGAGATAGTTTTTTTCCGTAAATATGACACATGGAGTAACTATAGGCCCACGTTGCGCAGCAGTGATTTAAATCGCCATTTGTTCCCTAATGCTGAAAATTGTTCTGAAGAAAGAAGAGCAAAGAATTTATGAATCAGTAATGCGCAAAAACCTCAGGGTCTCATGCCATCATCGAACACCGTGGGGAAGGGGAATCATGCCAGGCCACTTTCGCCGCTAGATGGCGCTTCACCTTCCGCTGGCAATCAAGACGAGTTACTCTGGCTGCAGCATAGCTCAGCCGCCCTGATGATGAACCAACGCCAACTGCGAGGGAATAATGAGGCGGTAATGAATGAATGAATAAGATTAAGACGATGATGATGATGATGATGATCATTGTGATCATGTGCGCGTGACATGGATCGAAGAAAGGCCTGGCCGAGTTCATGTTGAGCTGATCTGCATCACAATGATGAAGATGAAGGGAATTTACAGTTGAACCTCCTCAAGTCCCTGTCTGAATTCCCTGAGAAAGAATGCATGAAAAATCCCCCCCAACTGGAAGGCTTCTCCTCTGAAACCTCCAAAAGTTGAATTGTTCAGGCCTTTCGACTATGATTTTTCTGAAACAGGAAATAAAAAACAATGAAAATGAAATTTGAAGTGCTTTGAAAGGATGTGAGAGACTAAATTGGGCAAATGAACCCATGTCTCCCAAGTTCAGCACCCTGTTAACTCATTGTAAAAGCAATGCCAAGAATATGACCATGTACAATTTATTGCAATTTTTCAGCGTTTCCCACAATAAGAATGCTTGATCCCATTTGCCAAACATCTATAAGTGAAAACCTCCCTAAGTTGAATTTTTTGCTGGTCCCTTGAAATTCAAATTAGAGAGGTTCAACTGTATATAGAGTTGGGAAAACACATTTTGTTAGGTGAAATGAAGAAAACTGGCATTGAATTATAATAATTGGTGATATTCTGGGCCTTGACCAGCATTTTAAGTGAGTTGACATAATGCTGAAATTTGAAGCAACGTTTTATTTGCCCAATTTGTCCTGAATCTTTTTTTTTCAAAACACATTGAGTTACAATTTTGTAGCTTTTCTCCTTCCTGTGTCAGTAAAATAATAGCCTAAAGGCCTCCAGAAAATTCAAGTTGTGGGAGTTTGAGGGGAAAATCTTCAAGTTGGGGAGATTTTAATGCATTGTTTTTATGGAAATCTGAACAAAGATTGAACAAAAATTGGGCATGGAGGATGGGGAGGGGGGGGGGTGGTATTGAGGTTTGACTGTAACAAGCAATCCCGCCAACATGAACTCAGTGTGACCTAATGTCAAATACATTTATGTGCTCTGTGACTGATGTATGTACTAACACAAGAATGTACCACTTTCTGTATCCCGTCATTCCACAACACAAAAATGTACTTGCATGCATACATGAGTGTGGTGTGTGTGTGTATGTGTGTGTGCTTTTCTGTAATACAGTACCACAAAATCGTGTTACACTGAACTGTAATTAGAATCCAAGAAAAACTCAGTTATGGCGAGATTGGTGGTTCTTGGAGAAGAAAGGACTGAAACGTTGTGGAAAACAGGTTACAGATGCTTGAAACAATTCAAATTATTTCAGCAACTTTTATGTGAAGAATTGTCTGAATTTAAAACTTCTTTTGATGAATTAATCCCTGGAGGAAAGTTTTAAAGGTGAAATACAATCATCTGATTTCAGACCTTCCCTTTCTTAAATTTTCTAAAAAAAAAATGTGTATACAGAAACAATCTTAACTGAAATAAACAAATGGAGAATGCATGTTTGGTATAAGAGGAGCATTTATTCATCAAGAACTGCATGTAACAGAGAGAGCAGTTTCCTTGCACTCATTTTTTTTTCAAAGATTGTCCATGTCTAAATTCTTTGATGAAGTCAAATAAATATTGATTAAAGCTTCATACAGCACTTCCTGCTATGCTAAATTTTTCTGTGCAGCAATATTCGCATTTATATTTGCAATGCTTTAAAGAGTAGCATTTATATTTTTAAAGGTTTTTCAATGATGCGCGGGTTGGGTTTTCCCGTATTGTGCCAAATAAAAATTTGTTATGGCCCATGCATCCATAATCAAAACAAAAATACATTATGCTCAAATTATACGGGAAAATTAGTGTGTTCTGATGAAATTTTCCCATCATGAAGAAAGATTTTTCCCTCATGAAGAAACTGCCGGTGCCAAAAAAATAATTATTTATAAATGAAGATTTGCTGCAGCAGTCAAACCTCTCTAAGTCAAATCTCAAGGGACCAGCAAAAAAAAATGACTAGGGGAGGTTTTGAAGTGAGCTAAAATGCAAAGCTCTTTTGTTGTGGGAAACATAGAAAAAATGGCCAAAATTGTAATTAGTGATATTCTGGGGTGGAAATTACTTCTTAGATGAGTTGAAAGGATGCTGAAATTGGAGGCAGGGGTTCATTTGCCCAATCAAGTCTATCACTTCCTTTTAAAACAAATCAATTTATGCCTTTGTGGCTTTTTTTTTGTTTCTTGTGTCAAGAAAATAAAAAATCCAACAGTCTACAGGAAATTTGACTTGTGGAGGTTTGAGGGGAAATGCCTTTGACTTAGGGAGGCTTTTAATGCATTAATTCTAAGGGGATTCAGACAAGACCTGATGAAAAAAATTTTCCTTGTGGGGGGGGGGGGGGGGTATTCAACTTAGGGAGGTTTGAGTTATTGAGGTTCAATGGTGATTTAATCATTCTATACTACAGACAAACTTCATGGGACCATCAAAAAAATTCGACTTGAGGAGGTTTTGAATTGAGCTACAATGAAAAGCCTGTTTTTTCTGCAAAACATGGAAAAATTGCTCAAAATTGTGAATTGTGAATATTCTGAGGCTTAAATTACTTCTTCAATGAGTTGAAAGCATCCTGAATTTGGAGGCAGGGTTCATTTGTCCTCTTAAGTCTCTCACCTCCTTTTGAAACAAATAAATTTATGTTTTTATTGAATTTTTCATTTCTTGCATAAACAAAAGCCAACAGGCCACAGAAAATTTGATTTGTGGAGGTTTGAGGGGAAAAGCATTTGACTTACGGAGGCTTTTAATGCATTAATTCTGAGGGCATTCGGGCAGGACCTGAAAACAAAATTCGACTTGAGGGGGTATTTGACTTACAGGGGGTTCCAGTTATCAAGGTTCACCTGTATACCTGGAATTCGAATTTACTCTGCGTTACTTACTGTTTACATTAGCCGCCGCACTGCGCCGTGTGTCGTTGTCCGCACTCGCACTCGTTCCCCGTGCAGCACCAGCACGTGTCCAGCAACAGCTTCCTGCCCACTTCCACCTCGTCAAGCCTGCAGCATCAGCAGCTCCAGCCCGTGCTGATGGACGCCTTGCCGCCGGTCATGGTGAGACGCACTTTGCCGCTGCTGTGTCTCCGTAGTCCTCTTGTCCTGTCCTGTTTCACTATACAGTAGTACCACCACATCCCTTCCTCCTCCTCCTCCTCATTAAATTCTTGTTCGTTGCATGTATGCATCAGGACGCACGGGTTTCGCATCATTATTTGCAGTAAAGAAATGAAGTATTTATTATAGTGCCCAAAAAAAAACACCCCTCTTTTGTAATGCACGCGCGCACATAATATTCTCGCCCTAAAAATTTTGATGACATCCTGTCACGAGTTATACGAGGACCCCACTTTTATGGTGAGTGAAAAACTGCAATGAGACCCCGAGATGCGGACGTAATTGGTGTTTCAAGAGTGTCCCTGAGCCGAGTCTCATTTTCCCTTAGACTTACATTATAGAAATTTTAATAGGTGTTTTATGAAGAAAATACTTGCTAAAATTCCACGAAAAAAAATTGTCTCCAAATTGAAACTGATTCAATAAATATATTTCAACACAAAATGGACATTTGGGGAATTGAATACTGATAACTCTATAAAATACATAGAAATGTTGGCATTCTCTGTAAAAAAAACATTTCAGTGGAAAACAGAGAAGGAAGTCCCTCTATGTTGGAGGTAATTCTTTTAAATTAGCTAAATGGATGGTAAATTGGTGAGAGAATGCACAAGAACTTTTCTTATGTCAATTTTAGGGTTGGAAATATCTGTTCATTGTAATTTGGCCTGAAACTTATTTGCAATTTTATCACAAAATGTCCCTATGTCAAGTAAGTGTCCTTATGTCAAGCCTTTTTCTTATTGATTTTTCATGGGAAAATAAGTGTCCCTATGTTGAATTGTCTGCATGTCAAGGTGTCTGCATGTTGGGGTCTCACTGTATTTCAAAAATATAAAAAAACACCAGGAATTAATTTTGAAAATGAATTCAAACTGAAGTCAGTTATTTAAATGTTCTGTAAAAGAAGTCCATATCAAAAATTTAACATTTGGACTCGATCTATAACAATTTTCTCTGTTTCCCAATTTTTTTTTATGTTTATCTCACCATGTTGTAGGAGTTCTCTAAAATGAATTCTATTTTCTAGTCCCCTGAGATTTGTTAAAGAGAGAGAGTCTACATTTTTTTCAAGTGTGACGTGGACCTAAAATTGCAACAAAAAAATTTTATCCCCGCGTATGACGCACACCTCATTTTTTTCATTTAAATTTTCAAAAAAAAAATGTGCGCCTGGTACTCCAGTAAAATACTGTAGAGTAAATAAATTGAATGGATCATCGTTACAGTAGAATGCAGTACAGTACGGCAGAGTATCCCACGCACAGGTAGCTAGCTCCCTTTTCCTTATCGTCAAAGGCATGGCAGAGATGTTTTACGATTATGTGCTGTTCAGTAGAAGCCATTTCCCCTCTATCCATCATCAGGCACGACATTGGTCAAGATTAAACGTCCCAATCGTTCCCCTGCACCAGTATGCTGTACAGTACTGTACTGTACATATAATGCTGTACTCTAAAAGCATGTACAGTATATAGTTGAGTAAAATATCGGACGGGGGGGGGGGGGGAAATGGGAATTGCGAGTCGAGACAGGAACGGGTATACAATAGTGGGCCTCTGTTTTTTTTTTTTTTGTGTTTTTGTCTTATTTTTTTGTGTCGCCTCTTTCTCTGTCAGCAGCAGAAGGAGGAGGAGGAATTATGAGAAAATCGTGCGCGAAAATGGGGTCATCCTGGTGCGGGAGAGGAGGAGGAGGGGGGGGGGTCGGAATGACACCACACCTTCAAGGTTTAGGTCTTTATTTTTCTGTGAAACAGCCAGCGAAACGGAAACTTGGCCGGAAATAGGGGCAAAAATAAATAAATAAATGAATATTGCGTGTGACGGAGGGCGAGGTGCCTGTCTTGCCTTCTTCATGGGCCGCCCCTCTCTCTCTCTGTGTGTCTGTCTGTCTTTCTCTCTCTGGTGCAGTGGGTATACTGCGCTGATTTACCAAAGGTTGGTTCATAAGTTTTGATACTTTTTGAAATAAATCCAATAGAGTTTCAACAATTCCACAATAAGATAAATATTTACTCGCGTAGCCACATCATTTGGCAACACTGCAGAGTGATGTTCAACATACTCTCCATCCAATCCAATGCTTTTTTGTATGCAATAAGTCAAATGATTAAAACAGTGCTGAAAATCGAGTTCCACTATTAGCTGATTAAGCTGTTGTACAAAGGTGGAAGTGAGGCTGTCTCTATCCTCAAAAGCAATCCCTTACAGGTTGTTCTTCTACTGTTGGGAACAGCCAGGATAAGTCTTAGGGTGCCTAAGCAACTAACATTTCTTGATTTTTGGCACTGTTTTGATTGTTGAATTTATTGCATGAAGAAAAATGCATTGAAATCGGATGAGAGAATTGTTATCCAACATTCTGCAAAGATTTTTCCTTCAGAAACATTTTGTAGAATTAACAGTAAAACAAAATGTTTGGAAAAGTCTGTGATGAAACAAAGTTGCTAAGCTATTTACCAGACCAGGTCTCCTTCCTAGTTTAAGGAGCAATGTTTCTCTTGACAAAAATTGCCAACAAATTTTGTATATACCTGAAAACATGTTTGTCAGGCTCTATCTCCTTCTGGTAATTTGGCCAAATCCTGTTTTGCACAAATTTATCCTCTCAAGGAGGAATAACCTCCAAATTATATCTCAGGAATCATTTCCTCTGGAAGAATGATTCCTCTGTTGTTCAACCAATATTTGTCCATAATTTATAAAAGCATGCTCCAGGAAGAATCAGAATCATGTGAACTATTTTGGCATGCATTCTCAGAGAAACTTCCTTGCACACATTTTTTGGAAGTCTCTCTTCAAAATAAACTAATGGTTTTTGTCTAACGCGTGTATCAAAATATATATGTCATATACAGTGATACACCAAGATGCGGACATAATTGGTGCATCAAGGGTGTCCCTAAGTTGAGTCTTGTTTTCCCATAGACTTACATTATATAATTTTTAATTGGTGTTTTATGGGAGAAATATTCTTCAGAATTCCCTGCTGAAAAAAATTATTTGCCGCTTGAATTTGAATTAATGAATACATTTTCAACTCAATAAGAACATTTGGAGAACTGAATAGTGTATCTCTGTACTGTACATTGAAATGTTGGTATCCACAAAATAACATTCAATTTTTTAAAACGTAGAAGTCCCTCTATGCTGGAGTTAACTTTTTGAAATCAGCTAAATGGATGGTAAATTGGTGAGAGAAATGCCCAAGAACTTCTCTTACATCAATCTTAGCATTGGAAATATCTGTTTCTTGCAATTTTTCCTGAAATGTATTTGCAATTTTATCACAAAATGTCCCTAAGTCGAGTCAGTGTCCTCATGTGGTGCTTTTTTTTATTAATTTTTTCAGGGAAAATAAGTGTCCCTATCTTTAATTGTCCGCATGTTGGGGTCTCACTGTACAGTACTATATTTTTATAAAAATCTGATGTGTACTTTATTTTGATGATTGGACAACAGTATGTTGGACAACTCTGAAGTGTTGCCAAATGATGGGGTTATGCAAAGAAAAAAAATATTTTCGTTGAATTATTGAAACTCCGTTGGATCTACAGTATTTCGAAAAGTCCCGAAACTTTTGAACCAACCCTCGGTCTGTCGATATAGTCGCAGGCATGGGGCGTGATGTTGGCTCGACCAACTCACCATAATGCTCCGATTCCACTTCATGCTTTCCACCGCCCACCTGACTGTAGATGTTTCTGAATGAATGAATGAAAAACAGCACCTATGTACAGAGAGAGAGAGAGAGAGAGAGTGCTGGTTTCGATCAAACAGTGCTGGTTCCAACTGCTGCAGGTTTCATGGTTTTGATGTCTGGCCTGAATATATATACAATATATACACGACCCCTTGGCCCACCTGACGAAACTTTATCTCGCAATTATCTACAACAATACGTTATTCATATTCACCGCGAGTATATACAGTATACCCTTTCCTGGAATGTTCTCCTGGGGATGTAAAACACCACGACCCGCTTGTCTCCGCGATAAGACCACCCATTTTACAATTGAATAGTACTTTACATGTAGAATGGTGTGGTGTGTGTGAGATGACGCAGCAGCAGTTGAAGCGAAATTCGATTAGCCAGCCCTGGGGGATCTCTTATGATCAAATCTTGTTAGCATATGGTCGAAGGACGAGAAACAGATGATCAACATCTGAATCCCAACAAACCCTTTTCCCATTTCGTGTTTTTTTTTTTCACCAGCGAGATTTGGTGGAAAGCATGAAATTTGCTGCTCATCATTGGAATTTCTCTAGGGGACGGAACTGATTCAGACAGCAGTTCCACGTCTTTTTTATCTTGTTTCCTTCTGTAGCTGAAAAATTGGTACTTTCCTGTTATCTCAGTACCTCATTCCTTGACCGCACTACCATCCGGACAAATCTTTAGGACGAGTTCATAATCACGACCCCCTACCAGAAACTGTGAATTTTATTTTTCTGCATTCTGCTGAAACTGATTTTGGGAGGCAGTTAGGTAAAGTTAGGTTAGGTCAGGTTATGTTAGTTACAAATATCTTTTAATTAACATAACCTGACCTAACCTAACTTTACCTAAACGTCTCTCAAAATCAGTTTCAGCAGAAACCCGAAGAAAGCAGAAACTGATTTTGGGAGGCGGTTAGGTGAAGTTAGGTTAGGTCAGGTTAAATTGGTCAGAGGGAAGGTACAGAGATAACACGAAAGTACTGAAAATTTTATTGGACACCAATGAAGAATTGAAGAATAAAAGTAAAAAAAAATTGCATCCACCTCCGATGATGGCAAGTGGCCTGTTCATCGTCTGCTATACAAACCAACCCCCGTACGAGGGTTCTAACAAAAGTTCTCGGAGTCAACCACAAGGCATTGCCAGAGGTGGATGAACATTTTTTTATTGGATTCCTCATCCTTTTTTAGCCTAGGACCAATTTTTTTGTCATCCCTAGACAAAAATGGAAACTGGGAAAAAAAATTGAATGAGTTTTTTCTGGTGATGTGCCCACCCATTCTAACAGAAGTTCTTGGAATCAACCACAAACTGTCACTGGAGATGGACATGGATTTTTTTATAGGATTCCTCATCCTTTTCTGGCCTAGAATCATTTTTTTTTCATCCCCAGACAAAAATGGAAATGCAAAATAAAAAGTTGAATGAGTGGTATCCAATGAAGTGCCCACCCATGACCATAGAGCAGTTGCGCACATGCATGCTCCTGCACACACTGCTTTGAAAACTCATGATTTCATTTCAAATTTGGGCATTCAGCTTTTTACTCTTCCTTCTTACTCCCCTGATCTTGCTCCCTGAGATTTTTGGTTGTTTCCGACTGTGAAAGAAGGGCTTCAAGGGAAAGTGTTTTTTGTCAATAAGAAAATTTTTTTGACCCAAAAGTTTTTTTTTTCATTTTCATTCCAAGAACTTCTGTTGGAATGGATGGGCACAGCACCAGAANCCCCTGATCTTGCTCCCTGAGATTTTTGGTTGTTTCCGACTGTGAAAGAAGGGCTTCAAGGGAAAGTGTTTTTTGTCAATAAGAAAATTTTTTTGACCCAAAAGTTTTTTTTTTCATTTTCATTCCAAGAACTTCTGTTGGAATGGATGGGCACAGCACCAGAAAAAAAACTCATTCAACTTTTTTCCCAGTTTCGATTTTTTGTCTAGGGATGAAAAAAAAACTGGGTCTAGCTTAAAAAAGGATGAGGAATCCAATAAAAAAATGTTCATCCATCTCCGGTGATGGCTTATGGTCGACTCCGAGAACTTTTGTTAGAACCCTCGTACATCAAAGACTTTGCTATTAGGGCTAGACCTCTCCACAATCTCCTTAAACAGGATGTTGTTTTCAAGTGGTCTAGTGAACAGCAGATGGGCACAGCACCAGAAAAAAAACTCATTCAACTTTTTTCCCAGTTTCCATTTTTTGTCTAGGGATGAAAAAAAAATTGGGTCTAGCTTAAAAAAGGATGAGGAATCCAATAAAAAAATGTTCATCCATCTCCGGTGATGGCTTATGGTCAACTCCGAGAACTTTTGTTAGAACCCTCGTATGTCCAACAGAAGAAAGTTTCATTTATTGTGCGGAAGAAAAAAAAATTATTTTTTTTCTGAACAATAATTTTTTTTTTTAAGCTTAATCCTATCCCATTTTCAATTTGTATATTCCGAGAAATTATTGCAAGGTCCCTCCGAATATGCGATATATTAAATACAGGGAAAGTGACAGGAAAAAAAAAAGGAAAGAAAGAGGGAATTTCCCATGGTTTTTTCAGGTGACCGTAATCAACGTAAAGACAAAGCACATCGACTACATCAACAACGAAGCGTCCAACGGGAGGAAACTGGGAGCCAATAAGAGAGTACGTTTCAAGACGATGACTTTATACAATTGTACATTCCACTGATCCCACATTTTTTTTTTTCATTTTCTTTCTCTTAGTTTGCTTTTTTCTCAATTGCTGCAAGCCGCAAAATTAAATTACTGTAATACCGTATTTACTGGAGTACCACGCGCAATTTTTTTTTTCAAAATTAAGTGGTGGTAAAAATAGGATTGGAAACTTGGAATTCTTCAGAAATTGTAAAAGATTAGTTCCTCATGGTACGGTACTTGATCTTTGTAGAAAATTTTCAGCAACGAATTATTTTACAGTATTTCCAATGCAAAAAAAAATTTAAAAATACAGTTACCCCCAGATGCGGACGTAATTTGTGCATCAAGAGTGTCCCTAAGTCAAATCTTGTTTTCCCATAGACATACATTATATGGTTTTTAATTGGTGTTTTATGGAAGAAATATTCTTCAGAATTCCGTGAAAAAAATTTGACAACTTGAATTTGATTCAGTGAATATATTTTCATCTCAATAAGAATATTTTGAGGATTTAATGGTGTAGCTCTTTACTGTAAATTGAAATGTTGGCATCTACAAAAATAACATTCAAAGCACAAACAGGGAAGGAAGTCCCTCTATGCAATAGGTATTTTTTTAAATAGCTAAATGGATGGGAGAAAATGACAAAATAATGTTTCATGCATAAATCTTAGGGTTGGAAATATTTGTTTCTTGCTATCAAGCTAAAAGAAGTGAATTTTTGTGAAATTTATTGACAATTCTATGATGCAATGTCCTCATGTTGAGTCAGTGTCTGTATGTTGGGCCTTTTTTATGCCCTTTTTATTGAAAAAGAAATGCCCCTATGTCGAGGTGTCCGCATGTGGGGGTCTCACTGTAATTCCATTTTGGTTCAATTAAAGTCTAATTTTGACTTTTTCAAACTCCGCCATTTTTTTTAAAGTCACGAAACACGGAGTGTCGTACTTGAAAATAAGGATTCCAAATTTTAGCAGGACCCAAAAAATCAGGTGCGCGTGTTACTAGAGTTGAATGCGGTATTAAAATGACGGGTTCAGCCAAGGAAAAGATGTACAATATACTGTACAGTACTGTAAATATGCACGGCAAACGTGGGTTCGTCTCGGGACATCAGCCGGGGATGAGTGAATTAAGGTTCAGAATATGAAAGTACGGTACTGTACTCGAACGAAAATCCCTTCGCCCAGCTTTTCTCGTTTTAATAATACTGTACTTGCTCATCGAACTGTACATAGTGACGTATATACGTGCTGAAGGTAATCCTAGTGATGGATTTATCTCTTGTGTGGTGTGTGTGTGTGTGTGTGTGACTCCTTTAATCCGGCTCTCGTCATCCTCGGGAGAGAAAAATCCCTCATTTCATTCACAAGAAAAGCTGGGATTCACGCGTTATATAGAAAAAGGTCGAGCCTCCTGTCTTCACCGGGTGGTAACGCACACGTCCTGCGTTTGTACAAATACAGTATCACTTCGCAAGGGTTGTAAAAACAAATGAAACTTCTGTAGTTCAGGACTGGACTGGGTGGAGTAGAGTAGAGTACTGTACTGTACTGTACTGTATAGTATAGTTGCATGTCAGGTAGAACAAGGGACAGCGACGGACAAGTGCATGGGCAAAAATAAATAAAAAATAAAATAAACAGAACGGAAAAACGATGCAGCGAGATTTGCACGCAAGCACCGAGAAAGCACGTGAAGACTGTTTCATACACACAATGGTCATCATCATTTTCTTCCTCTTCTTTATTTTTTTTCTTCTTTTCTCTTTGTTCCTTGATTCCTTCGTTCATCGAGTGATTTCCCGGCATCATAATAAGCTCCATCAACAATGAGGGAGCAAGAGAAAATCTCGCGGCCCGGAAAATGCCTTCGAGGAAAATATCCCGGGAGTGAACATAGATTAATTCTTTTTTTTTTTTTTTTGTAGCAATTGCCAAATGTTGTAACGCTGATCCAAATATGCTAGAGCTCAATTAGTCTGGGTTCCAGATGCCTTGATCTTATTGGAATGATTTTGAAGATCCCGACGTTGAAACCTGGTGCTTGAAATTTGACTTCACGTGTTTAATACCCATCATGTACTGTACTGTACTTCAGTACCATGCGCAGCTTTTTTTCCCTCAAAATTTCGAGGGAAAGAAGGGGAGTGCGTGTGATAGAGGGTTATACATTTTTAAAGTTTTATATGTGTAACGTGTGCATTATATTTGGTTCTACTGGAAAATATTGGACCAATTTCAATGCAATAACTCACTGTAATGGAAATACAGTTCTGTACTGTAGAAATACAGTGGGAATACAATTCTGTAGTTGAATCCGGGATCAAATCATGCCTAAATCCAAATTTGGGTATTATTATTTTTTAAACCTTGCAGTTTTAGAGACACTGAAAATGGGGCGTGCGTCTTGCTTAGGTATAGAATTTTTTTTTGACAAAAATTTGACTGAAAACCCTTGGTGAGCGTCTTACTTGAGGGTGCTTGGTACTCGAGTATATAAATATGGTAATTTAAAATTTGTCTACAAAAAATTGCCTACTTTATAGGTACAGTACCAAAAGAAGCTTTTCCTGGTGCATACATTAAAATTTTTAAAGATTCCTGTCCCCAGATAAGAGTTGTGGGCCTCTAAGGGATTTTCGAGCCGCGGGATTTTCTCATGGAGCCATAAACAACATCAACAGTACCGTGTGGTACAGTACTGTACTGTGTATAGAAAAACACAACCACAAAATTTGAGTCTGGTAGTACTCTGATGTACTGTATTTCGTACATGTTTCGAGCACCTTTTACATGCTGCGCATGGGTTGATTGGTAAAAGATGATAAAACAGCCAAATGCTGTCATTGGAGGTGGATGCCATTTTTTTATGTTGCTCTTCAATCCTTCATTAATGTCATTAATAATAATAATTTATCCTTGATAATACTTCATCCTTGATGATAATTTATCCTTGATAATAATTTATCCTTGATAATAATTTATCCTTGATAATAATTTATCCTTGATATAATTTATCCTTGGTAATAATTTATCCTTGATAATAATTTATCCTTGATAATAATTTATCCTTGACAATAATTTATCCTTGATAATAATTTATCCCAAATAATGCAGTAATTTATCCTTAATAATGATTTATCCTTAATACTAATTTATCCCAAATAATACAGTAATTTATCCTTAACAATACAGTAATTTATCCTTAATAATACAGTAATGTATCCTTAATAATACAGTAATTTATCCTTGATAATACAATAATTTATCCTTAATAATAAAGTAATTTATCCTTAATAATACAGTAATTTATCCTTAATAATACAGTAATTTATCCTTAATAATGAAGTAATTTATCCTTAATAATACAGTAATTTATCCTTAATAATACAGTAATTAATACTTGATAATGATTTATCCTTAATAATTTATCCTTGATAATAATTTATCCTTGATAATAATTTATCCTTAATAATAATTTATCCTTAATAATAATTTATCCTTTATAATAATTTATCCTTCATGAATAATTTATCCTTCATGAATAATTTTTTGTCCCCTACTCAGCTACAGATGGAAACAAGAAAGACATCACAGTCAATGCTCTCCACTGGTCAATTGATTGAAAAGCATGCAAGTGTGCAGCTCCTTTTATTGATCCATTAAACTTCGATTCAGTGGAGAACATAGACTGTAAGGTCATGTTCTTTTCGTTTCCATCTGTAGCTGTGTATATTGTGTGAAACAAATTAGACACCAATGAAGGATTGAGGAGCCAAAGAAAAAGAAAAAAAATGTGCATCCCCCTCCAATGACGGCATTTGGCCGTTCATCATCTTCTACAAACAAACCAGCCCTCGTATTAGCACGAGTATAAGAAAAAAAGGATGAAATTAATAAAAGGTGGGGTATTGACGATGTTGTAGCAAGACGCGAGTTCCGAAGATGGCGCCGAGGAGGAGAATCAGCCCCTGGACATGTCCTGGCCATCCACGAACCGCAAGAGGATCAGCTACGTACTCCTGGCCCCCATCGTCTTCCCGCTGTGGCTCACGATGCCAGACACTAGGAAACCTTCAGGTTGTGTATCTACCAAGAAATAAATGAAATAAAATTTGAAAATTTTCGTTGCTACGAATTTTTTCCTTGGTGCTCAGAGGTCTTCAACAGGTGCCATGCTCTAACAATCTGGTAACAAGCTCATTTTAAATCTTAGTTTCAGTTTAATGGATATTTGTTCCTAATTCTGCTTATAAACCTTGAGGATTATTTGATACATTGCAGAAAATTGATGAAATTCAACTGGTGCAGCATTCCAACTTCAGTGGCAGAAACGCAGAACTTCTTGCATAGAAAATGTTTAGTGTTCAAAAAATATTCAGCATGATATTTTTCTTGGAAGTTCTTTTACTCAATTTGAGAATTTATGTCTTTTGGTATAAGCAATGTGTTGAAAAAAAAGTTTCCTCAATTTGAAAGAACAAGTACAGTACTGTATTTATGATTTAGTTTATTCAGAAGGAAATATTCCTCCCAAATGTGTACAATACTTTTTGTTTCATATTTTTTGAGACAATTTGCGCTTCAGTAGAAAGACAGGTTCAATGAATGAAAAAGTACAATTTACTGCCATTACTGTACAGCAGTATTGTAGAATACAGTATTAGGAAGGGAGATCTGCTTCTCCTGATGAGTCATGAAAATGCCTCTTTTTTCCTTTTTTGTTTCAATAATACTGTTGATTAAAAACCCATGACTGATTTTGGACCCATTTTTTTTTTCTCATGCAGGCAAGAAGTACTTTGTGATCACCTTCATTCTCAGCATTTTGTGGATAGCCTTCTTCAGCTACTTGATGGTGTGGTGGACGTCCACTGTGGGACAAACAATTGGGATTGCGGATGAGGTAATATCAAACACATTTGACACGCAATCATCATGATTAAAGATTAATCTTCACTCTTTTTTTGCCCGGAAGGTGATGGGACTCACATTCCTGGCAGCTGGAACTTCCATCCCGGATCTCATGACTTCTGTCATTGTGGCACGAAAGGGTTTTGGGGACATGGCAGTCTCCTCTTCTGTGGGCTCCAATATTTTCGACGTCTGCGTCGGGTGGGTCCTGTGACTCTTCTCCTTTATTTATTTTTTTTAGCAATTTTTAAATGAAAGAGGCAACAGATTTTATTCAAATTTCACAACCTTCTTGCAATTGAGGTGTGGCGGAGGCGACGTGGTTTTTTTTTCTCACACAGCAGTGCAGTGTAGTAAAGTTAAATAACAGCTGAGTAGACCTGTGAGAACTTGATGTTTGTTCCCATGGCTCCATGAGAAAAATCCCGCAATGTGAATATATGCATCTGAAATAGCCTCTTTTGTTTCCTACAGTAAGCATTAGTGTGTATAGGCAAATTTTAAATTATTATAACAAGTATAAGTGCAGTTTTGAAGTCAGATTTTAGCATTGGAATCCACAGAACTAGTGTAAGGCAAATTTTTATAAACTTTTAAGCTTTCAGAAATGCTGGAGCCAAACAGATCCATTAAATTATACTGTACATCATTTTCAAAAGAAACCCCATGGGAACAAAAATCTTTTGGATTACCAAATTGTGAAGTGTGACTTTGGGGTGATCCTTTCAACAATTTGAAAGTTTATGATTACCCTACAAAGTCACAAAAGGATGTAGCCTTCATTTGGAGCATTAATCTCTACATTGGCTCTGAATAGAAACTGTGCACTTTTGTTCTGATTTTTATACCTTGTTTGATTTTTGGGCTTATGGAATTTTCAGGCCTGCTAGGGATTTTATTTTGTACCCATTGCCACTCAAGGGCATTTCCTACTGGTCGCGTCAAGCAAGACAGCTGTACTGCAAATGATGCTTTTCATTCCCTCCTTCGATTTTCTGTCCGAGAACCACGACGTTAAAAAGAAAGATTATGACCTTCTTTTCTTGATATTAATTTTGTTTCTTGTCTGGTGTCTTCGCAGACTACCGCTACCCTGGATCCTCTGGAGCTCCGTTAATGCTGGCCTGCCTGTGCAGGTCAACTCGGAAGGCATGGCCTGTTCCATCATCCTCCTCTTTAGCATGCTCATGCTCGTGTTCCTCTCCATCGTGGCGTGCAAATGGCGCATGAACAAGGCCCTCGGCATCGTCATGTTCCTCCTCTACTTTGCCTTCGTCGCCGTGTCGCTGCTCTTCGAGTATGGCA